CTCATATACAGTTCGTGTTGAAAATCTAAAAGAATTTTGCGATTTTGCCGACGTTCTGTACAATAACTTATTCTCTCATTCAAAAACAAAGTGGCTTTCTCTTTCTTCTGCTATGGAACGCATCATATCAATTTTTAAAGGTGTGAAATCATGTTTTTTGTCTCAAAAAAATTGTCCTAATTCTCTTAAAATTTTTTTTAAAAATGAAAGTGCTATATTATGGCTTAAGTTTTTCATTAGTTTAACTTCATTTAAGTAGTTCATTGAACTCGTATATAAAGAAAGTTGAAAGTTAAAAACTATCAGCTATCGAATTGGTGATTAATATGGAAGATCTTATAGAGAAAATTGAAAATAAAAAAAAGGATAGATTTCTCACGGTAGAAATTGAAAATCTCGTAGTAAAACTTGAAGAAAAAGGACTTATAAATAGAACTAATTTTGAAAATAAATGTCATCACATTTATGAAATTTGTTATAACTATCTAAAAAAATGGAACAAATTAAATCAACATGTTATTAATTTGAAATTAATGTTATGGATAACATTAACTCCAAGGACAATAGTAACATGGGAAAATTTCGAAAAATCTGTAATATTTATAAAAGACATGATGCCAATAATGTAACTTTTGATGAAGAAATATTTTTTGAACAATTTAAAATGTTTAAAAAAATTTTTTATCAATAAAATGACGAGCGGCATTATCAAGAAATAGAAAATAAATAGATATATATTTTTTAAATATTCTCTGATAGCAATCATGCATTTCCTGAGATGTTAAAAATTGTTAAATTTAGTTTTGTTTTGCCGGGTTCAAATGCAGCTGTGGAACGTGTATAATCATTGATGAACAGTACATGGAATAATATCAAGGAACAAACTTTATATTAGAACAGTGGAAGCCTCTCTTTTTATAAAAACGTGATTCAATAATGTATCTTGTGAAGAATTTTATGACCAAATTTTGGAAAACAAATCTTTATTAAAATAATTTTATGTATCAGCGGAATATAACAACCCAACCCAACCCAAATCCACAATGATAAATATATTATGTATAATATTAATTATATTATACAATAAAATTATTTTTTTTAATTTATAAATGAGTATAATTTTATTCGGGGCAGTGACGGTGCTACTATACATATAAGTATTTTTTTTACTTAAAAGAAAATTAACAAAAATGATGCTTAAGTCGCTTTTTTAATCTTTTACACTAAAACCTTTATATCCAGTAAATATTCTATACGTTTTACTTTATTATCTACAATATTTTGCGTAAATAACAAAATCTATGTAAGCTATTTAATGATCCTATTAGTAAGATATTGAATTCCTAGGGACTTTTATCCCAAACAATTACCTACATTGTGCCTAAAAGTACAAATTTTACTATATAAGTGTAAAAATAACCCATTATCTGTTCATTCACTTTTTGGTGTTTTTATGGTGCTTTTCATCATCTACTACTATGTTTTTTGGCCATTATTGTGCATTTTTAGCAGTTATTTAATTGTAAATATAATTTTTAAATTGTCTTAACCCTTCAATTCATTAATTTATTTTTAATAATCTATATTACTGATAAATTTCACAAAGTATTTTCATAAATAAAATTAAAAAGAATATATATATGGTACTTGTTTTATTGAAGGGTAAAATTACGTTAATGATTACATTTGTTGTTTACCATCATCACTAATCTTCACTATTCAGTTCGAAATGTACATATTTATTTTTATTAATTTTAGTCGTAAAACTTTTATACAATGCATCTTCCATTAAGCATAAATAATGTTGAAGATAGCGTTAAGTAGTTGAAAGCGCAAAATGTTTCTCAATTTAATATATTGGCAGACATTTTGTACGAATCAAGAAATTTTACGGTGTCTGAGAAAGGCATTAAATATGAAAATGCAATAAAAAGTCCCGTATCGCTAGATATGATAAGAAATGATTGTGAAATTTATAAATCTGAGATACATTCAGTCAAATAAAATTTATTGTTTGGACAAAAAAATTATTTGAAGTTTAATTTTTTTTTTATTCAGTATTATCGCATAATGTAAACAATGAATTTATGCACAACTGAGGATTGCATAAGTGATATGGCGTATGACCAAGATAGTTTTACGATAAAATATATCATAGATCAAATATCCATTAATCAGAATAGTATGTATTATTTAATTTTTAATTTTCCATCACAGTTCAAATGTCATTAAATGGTTCATTTAAAAAAACTTACGTATAAAGTATTTCTTTTATTTTTAATTTTTTAAATTTTGAAATAATTATTGATTAATAAATGTAATTTTTTCTATAACTTTATAATAAATGATTGATGAATACCTGGACGTTTTTTTTTTTCATTACTTTGTTAAAATAAATTTTACTTTTATCTCTGGTTACTCTAATAATAAATTAATCATATTAAATAATGAAAAGAAAAAGTTAATATTATGTTTTACTAGATGACTTACAAAGATATAACTTACTGAATATTTGGGGTTATCTTTTGAATAGTATTTATGCTATTATTTGTGTAAAGTTTTTAGAAAATGATTATATAAAACAACTGTTTTCATACATATAATATAAATAATATTATATTTATATGCATATTAAGATATATATGGACAGTTTAAAAAATAAATTGAACCAAGAAGCTGAAGTTATTTAAAACTCAGCGATCTCAAAGAAAAAAAAAATGAAATATTAGCTATGAAAAATGTTAATACATGAAATGGTACGATAGTAGTTGCCCAACTCATAAACAACTACCATGTATTCATATCAAGAATAAAATTAACAGATGAAGAAATTATTGAATACATTAACAGTGATAAAAAAATATTCTTAAAATATAATGGCAAAATCGGAAATGCTTACACATTTGATTTTCAATAAATTAAATATTACTATATATTTTATTAAAATATTTATGATTAGTATATTATATAAAGAATGTATACACAGACTAAAATAAATAATAATATTTACTGTTGAATAATTTAATTATATAATAAAAAATAATCATTCTATAAACAATTTTATGGTGTGATTTTATCTTATATAATAGAACAAGGAAAAAAACGCTTTTCTGGAAAAATTACTTAGCGTGCTCGGATTTTCAAAATTTTTTTTTCAACGGAAGTACTCGGTCACCAGACTCCGGGAAAATTTTTGCCGCTCGCCCGCGATAATTTTAAAATATCGACCGTTTTCGAGAAAAACGATCGCTGACGCCAGCGTTTTACGACTTAAGGTTTGAAATTTTCATCAGACCTGCCCAATGACATTCCTGAGATATAATAAAAAATCAATTCTTGCGATACTTTACGACATGAAAACGATTTTTTTACGATTCGTAATCATACCACAGCGTTTTGTACGTGCCGAGGAAGCGTCAAAAATCCAAAAATCCGAGATCCCACTAAAACTCTGCCGCTATGAGCTTTTGTAATTCTACAAATTTTAACGAAAAATAATGATTTTTCTGTATGCCAATAACACATGTATGCGTCATATTCTTCTTCTTAATGTGTCGATCCGTTACAGATGTTGGCGATCATCATTGATATACTAGTTTTATTAGTTCCGCTCTGGAATAGTTCTACTGAACTTTCGTCGAATCATGTTCTGAGGTTGGCTAGCCACGATGTTCATCTTCTTCCAGGCGATCTTTTGCTATTAATTTTCCCTTGTATGATACATTGGAGAAGATCATATCTGCGCTTGTTTCACATAATATGTCCTAAGTACTGGAGTGTTCTGCATTTAACTGTTACCATTAATTATTTTTCCTTTCCCATTCTACGCAATACTTCAATATTAGTCATTTTCTCAGTCCATGGTACTATCAAAATTCTTCTGTATAACCATAGTTCAAATGCTTCTAAACTTATTCGAGGTGGCTTTGGATAGAGTCCAGGTTTCTGCACCATATAAAAGTGTTGAGGACACGTAGCATCTCAGTATTCGCATTTTTAACTGCAGAGATAGGTTGTGGTTCTTGAATGACGAACTCATTGAATTAAATACATTTATGGCTTTTCCAATACGACTCTTTATTTCTTCTGCGTTGTCCCATTGTTCGTTAAAGACAGTACCAAGATATTGGTATTTATGTACTCTCTCTATATTCTGGTTTAATTTATGCTTAAGTGAACTACTCCTATGATGTCTTCCTTGCTTATAATCATGAATTTAGTTTTGTTTGTATTTATATCCAGTCCGTATATCATGCTAGACTCTGTTATTTTATCCATAAGTAATTGAAGGCCCTCAACAGTGTCCGCAAAAACTATGGTGTCGTCGGCAAAACGTAAGTTGTTTAATCTTGTGCCGTTTATGGATATTCCTTCTTCTATCTCATTTAGAGCTTCTCTAAAGATATATTCAGAGTAAAGATTAAACAAGATCGGTGACAGAATACAACCCTGTCTCACTCCACGTCGAATTTCAATCGAATCGGATGTTTCACTTTCCATTTTGAGAACCGCTGTTTGTTTTTAATATAAGTTGGCCATTATTCTAAGGCCTTTTTCATCTATTCCTATTTCTTCTAAAATTCTAGTCATTATATCATGTCTAACACGATCGAAAGCCTTCTGGTAATCAACTAGACAGACAAATACACTAAAAGTTACATCTCTGCATCTTTGGAAGAGGATCTGTACACTGAACAGTGCCTCTCTTGTGCCTATCGCATTCAAAAACCCAAACTGATTAGGTGCTGTTTGGTCTTCACATAGGCTATATATTCTCTTATGAATAATCTTTAAAAACAATTTCAGGAGATGGTTCATCAGGCTGGTCGTTCTATAATCCCCACATGTGTTTGCGCTCGATTTTTTAAGGTAAGGCAATAAAGTTGGATTTTATCCAAACCTCAGGAATTATACTTGATTTATAAACTGAATTGAATACTACTGTGATCCATCTAATTTTCTCATCATCCAGTAATCTGATGAGTTCGGAATGTATTTGATCAGGACTGATCAGATGCTTTGCCTTCTTTAAGTTGTTTAATAGCTGATTTCACCTCATCTAATAATATGTCTGGACCCGTTAGGCCAAATGGTCCAACGCTCACCAATCTCTTTCCTGCTCCCAATTTTGCATTAAAATTCCCTATAACGATTGTTAAGTCTTGTTTTTTCAATTTATTCAAAACTTCATTAATGCTTTGATAGAATTCTTCTATCTCATTCTTCTCCTTGTCTGCCGTTGGAGCGTACACCTGAATGATGTTAACATCTACTGGAGTAGCTAATAGCTGTACGAGTATAACTCTTGAAGAGATGGGTATGAAGTTCTTTATTGATTTAGCTATTTTATCTGCCAGGATGATACCTACTCCATATTCATGTGTTCTAGTTGTTGAACCTGAGTAAAGTACTTTGTGGTTTTCTATATTTATGTTGCCTGAATCTGGCCATCTCATTTCGCTGATACCGAGGATTGAAATGTTCATCCTATCCATTTCTTTAATGACATTGCGTATTTTTCCTGCCTGGTATATTGTTCTTACATTCCATGATCCAATTCTTACTTTCTCCTGCTTCTTAATCCTACAACAAACATCAGTACTTCTATATGCAACCGTTCCTCCCGGAGATCCGAATGAGGAACTTACTCCGGATAATAATTTAATCGCACTCGTAGTCATGATGATATATACTAGGACTTATCCATTCTGGATCTTTAATGAGTTGGTTTATCCGAAAATTCTTCCTAATTCCTATGCCATTGACCACGCTCTGCAGTTCATACGCCTTTAGAGCCGGTTTCCCAACTCCAGGACAAAAGAGTGCCCTTTTCATGTCGGCTCCTCCACCCACAGCTGTTGGCTGACATAAGATAGATCGCTTATGCCGGCGATCGTTCGGCCTCCTTAGTCGACTTCTACGACAGGCGTGGAGTTACCGTGGATAAATTCTACTGCCATGCCGTAAATAATTAATAAATAAAAAATTTTATTATTTAAGCAATGCCATTTCTTTATCTATTCTCTACATATTTTTCTAAACTAGCAAAATTTTATTGGAATAATTGGAACTGTAGCAATTTTACTTTAAACTTAGACACCCGTTATGTTTTTGCTCCTGAATCTATGTGGCGTATATTTGCCTTTAAAATGCATGATAGTAATCATATTATTCATCGATTACCGATTCATTTACTAGGTTTGCAAATAGTTACATTCCGAGAAGGACAGTGAAATAAACTTACATAACTAGAAGCATTTTTTAAACTAAATGCATCACGATCAAATGATAATAACGCATTGTTTTATTTTGATTTACCAACAACACATTTATTCTGTAAATAACCAATAGGAACTCAGAAAAAGATACTTTAAAATATTATTGGTAGAATGTACAAAGTTTTGCCACAAGAACAAGAAAGATTTGCCTTGCGAATTCTATTACTACATCGATCAAATCCTACATCATTTGAAGATCTCAGAACTGTTGATGGGAACCTGAAACCATCATTTGTCGAAGCTGCTAAAACTTTAGGATTACTAGAAGACAATAGATTATTGTCAAACAATGGCTGAATTAGCATTGAGCTCAATGCCTGTACAAATTAGAAATATGTTTGCATATATTTTAGCATATAATGGCCAACAGATGCATTAGATATATTTGAAGAATTTTATTTTGAAATTATGTAATCTATAATATAAATATACAAATTTAAAAAATTATGTAATTAAGTAGTTTTAAAAATAAACACTTTTTTTAAAGTTTTAGATGCAACATTTTAAGGATTTTTGCTAATATCTCATAAATATTACAGCTACCATGAGAGTGTTAAGGCAATGAATAATCATTCCATTGAGGATTTTAAATTTAGGTCCGCGTACTGGTCAAGAGATTCTTATGATAAAATATGAACAACATATGAAATAATTACGTTTATAATATTTATATTACATTAAATGTTTTCTTTTTAATTATTACACAATATTAGATGATTATTTGCCAGACTTACATGATATTTTTGGATATTAAAATTAATTATGATACAAATATTTTTATTTAAGTAACCTAAATACAGTAACATCATCAAGAGTGAACACTACTATTTTTTTTTATCTAAACAATTTAGACAAAGTTTCAAGTAGAGTTTAGCTGTAATATAATTGACTTCATTTACTGATAGGTTACTCTACCCTTTTTGTACAGATTGTATTAAGTAAAAGTTTTTAAAATAAAAACACGTATAATTCATTAGTGTTCAAGTAAAAGGGTATAACTATATTGTAACTTTCGAAGAAATTAATATAAAACTTATAGTTTACTTTTTTAAAAATTCTTAGTCATATGATATTTTTAACATTCAATATTCACACGTAAAAAATATGATTAAATGTAAGTTGTAAGCTTTAAATTAAATTTTCCAGATGTCACAATTTTAAACTTATACCATCTTACTGGAACACCACTGAATAATAGTGTAAAAAAATATTACTATTACATTTTTACATAATTTTTTATTTTAATATTACTGATACATTTTTAAAATGGAATCATTTTTACAGGAAATAAATAAATAAAAAAAAAGAAATATATAGTGAAAATGGTATATCAATATATTTTCAAGAAAAACCTTTTGCTGTACTAATACTGACTTCTATTATGTTAAGAGCTCATGATTTGTCTCTGACTAAGGACATAGTTTTTGTTGATTCTACAAGATCATGCGATCCAGAAAATCATTGTATAACTTTTTTACTCACTTCTTGTGCTGCTGGTGCAGCTTTTTTAGGTGTACTTATAACAAAAGGACAAAGTGAAGAGTCATATTCAGCTGATTTTCAATTAATTTAAAAAAATGTAGACAATGCTTTTGGTTGTGGAAAAGATCCAACTATACTTCTAACTGATAACTCTGATGCAGAAATAAATAATTTATATTACTACTGTTTTCTATATATTATACTTAATCATTAATAAATAATTATACTTTATATTAATATATTACTACTATTAATAATAGTTCACTGATATCAACTGTTATCCAGTGGCCTTGCCAGAAATAGTGAGGAACAATTTTTTATCTTTACGATCTGATTTCAATCAAGTCCTAAAAGAAGCAGAAGAAATAGCCAAAAGCTGGCAAATTAACCCTTCTTTTCCTCAACGTCATTCCCGAAAAGTAAAAATATTCCATGAAGAGGTTTGTAATGATCATTAATTTGGAGGAGACAACCTTTAGAAATTTAAGATTTCCGTTTTCTACGCATCTTTGGATGTACAAATTTCACAAATTAAAAACTGTTTCGAGTTGATGGTAGAAATCAAAAACAATTTTGGGTTTTTGAATCCAGAAAAAATACTCACGTATGATGACAAAGACATTTTCAGAAATGTTCATGAAGGCGGGGCTGAGGGAGCATCTTGCCCCCTTAAACTTACCTCAGTCGGGCATTCGTACTTTTTCAATACTATAGTCGGTTAAATCAAAGTTAAGAAATGGAATAAAAAAAATTGATTTTATCATTCAATTTTTATGTGTTTTACTTGCCCATAGACGATAGACATAGACATGATATATATATATATACAGCCACGGATCAACAAAAAAAAAACATTACATAAAAGCATCTTGTTATATTCCCTTATCGCCTAATGGTAAAACCAATGTTTGCGACTACTCATATTCTTACGACTAATTTTAATCGTTATCTTTATACAATTTTATATACGTATTATTGGTTTAGTATACCGTTTGCAGCCGACATGTCAGCATGCGCCGCTAAATTATTACACCAACTACCCATAGAACCACTGGAAGTCCTAGTCACTCCCAGTATTTTTAGAATTTGTTTTTATTTTAAAAACATATTATCAACTGACAACTGTGTTTTAAAATGATTTTATTTCTCTTTTTACCGTGCTCTGAAACTAGTGATAACGTCACATTTAATCGAGTATACCTACTTAAACGACGTGAATTATAGAAGTAAGCGTTTTCATTTAGTTATGTAAATTTACGAAAAATTTTTAATGAATAATATTAAATTTATATTACATGTATACAACTTATATGTTTCATTTTAAAAATTTCAAAAATCATTAAAATATTTATGTAAAAGAGCCAAGAGTATAAACATAATAAATCATAAAAGACAAATAATAACAAGGTACAAGTTAAGTTCGTAATTATGAAATTTTAATAGTAAAACGTTAATATAATCCTTATGAAAATACACATAATGTAATATTTAAACTAAATTTATGCCAAATTATAGGTATCCGAACATTTTTCCGTATAACAAGCTTCCGCAAATTTTAACAAATAAAAAAACATTAATTCTATTAAAATCTCATTACATTTTCATTTCAATTAACATTTTTTCGCATGTACAAGCTTCCAAAAATTTTAGCAAATAACTTTCCGAATGACCTTCACAAGTAAATATTATGAGCCAAATTTGACAAATACCTGTCCTCCGTACCATATTCAACATGTTCCCTGTACGATTCGAAGACCACAGTCCCTTTGAACACGATTATTTCCGCATTTTGCTCTGGTATATTTGTTATCGTTCGAGTCTTGCACTTCTTTGAACGACATTCCCATTGTCGGCGAGAATCACAATATCGCGAGTGATAGTAGACATATCCATTGACAAAAAGGAAGTTTCTGACAATTTCTACAGCCAATATTTACTAGAAATTTTAAGTTCTATACGCGAAAAATATCAAAATATCAATAAATAACAAAAAAAAGGATTGTCACAAACGGTATTGTTAAATGCGGTGATCACTAGTTGTAATGGTAACTCGAAAATAAAAAATTTGAGTAATTATAATTAATTTTTATATTTGTTATGTACATAAAAAATGTCCGTGTTGAAAATGGTCATGCGGAAATATGAATACGGAAACATGTACCCCAATCCAAATTATAGGTACTTAAGTACCTATAATTAATAAACATCAAACCTAAGTATATTCATATGGATTTTTTGAAGTATGATATACTAGAAATGGTAAACAAAAAAACTAAATTTGGAACTGCAGTTATGATTACAGTATCTAATGAAGACTTCAAAGGTTATGTATTTTTACCAAAAACAGTTAAAATGAGTGACGATGATTTGATAAATTAAAATGAAAACATTGGATCAAATTTCTTTAAATTTGTATTTAAAGGTAGAGATGAATAACGATAATTTTTATTAAATAAAAAAATTTTTCTTTTTACATTATTAATATTTTTAATCATATAATTGTAGCATTAAAATAAAATATAGTTTTTGATAATTTTAAGTTTTAGTAATTGTTTACAATATATAATAAATATGTTTAACTTATTTTAATTATTTGAAATATTGTAAATTTATTTTTACTATGCAAGAATGCAATTTTTAAAATAAAATATAATTATTATTTGTTATAAAGTTAATATTTAAAATAATATTAACACATTAAAAGTATCTAATGTTCAATTCATTTATATTACATGTACATATTATTTTGTTTTCTTGGGTATCATCTGTTTAGATAAATTAATAATAATAATAATACTAATTATTATTATTACATTAATACAAATAAATATATGTTTGTTTAATGGAAAAATCAGTTATTATTATAGTTTTCCCTGTTAAAAAATATGAAATACTATTTTATACAATTCACCGTAATTAACTCGTAATATATGTTTATTGTACAACACACATGTGGGCTTTCTTACGCGAGCACTCGTGTGTGTATATGTGTTTCGGTCAAGAGCAAACCGTTAAGTACTACTCTAATGACATATATATTCTTATTTATATCATTGTATACTATGTATTACGAATAAAATTAACGACTTTAGTGGTCTAGACTTAAAACCTATCAATATAATCCAGTAATTTATGTATAATTTTTTAATTATATTTGTTATAATAATTAAACATTTAAAAATTATGATCTAACAAAAAATAAAAGTACCGTCCGTTATATAATATTTTAGTCAATATATAAACAGATACATTGTATATTATAACTTTTTAGATTAATTTATTATAATAGAAATTACATTTGAAGAGGATTTCTATATGACCTATATTTATGTCGACTAATCTAGACTAGTCTAGATCTAGATAATCGGTAGGCGATCTACCGATTATCTTAGGTCATAATATAATAGATTGAATACGAATTACATATAAATATAAATATTATTATTTTAGTTTCTATATTGTATGTGCATTATATTAATTTGTTTAATAAATTGCTACAAGATACTTTAACTCATCATAATTTATATCATTGCAGAATCATATTCTAAATTGCAAGTATGCTGTTTATTCCAGTTGACTTTTAACTAATTTGTCATCTGTCCGATTTTAAGTACATAAGAGATCATCTCTTTAATAAAATGGTTTACGTTATAATTTATAATTTTTATGATTCGCAAAATCAATTGATAATTAATAATCAGTTCAGTTTATTTCTCGCATATTGCCAAACAGTCGTATATCCATCGTAATAAAAAAAAAAAAACCCAGCACAGGGGGGTCTCGGCACAGTGGTGACGTGGCATAGTTGGATCAAGTATAATGATATCTGACAGTGATTAAAATCACTATAAAAAAAAAACGTTTCGATGCAATCTTTAGATAGTGTTTAATTTTAAAAAATTGGTGGAATATTCCAAAAGCTACATGATCTCCGATTTCCTTATTAATATCCTGAATGAAAAAGGGATTATTAAAAAATATTATTTCTCATAAAAAAATTGTGTTGATCCATACACTTTTCAATAAGTTATAGCAGTGGTCGGCAATTATGTTGCATGGTGGTCCAGATAATTTGAAAAAAAAATTTCAAGGGCCAAATAAAACTTAAATATATTTATTTTGTATTAAAAACATAGTTTAAGACAAATTATTTAATATAATATAAATTATGAAGGTATAAAACTTAAAATAATAAAAATACAAATTTATACACAACAATTTACTTTACTTATTTTAATGAGAAAAATCACATTTATTGACCTGAGTTAATTTTTTGAAATTTGGTACTCTCGAAGTGCAACATATGCGCAGAGTGTTTCCAAGGTGGAGATCAGTTAATCTTGAACGATATTTATTCTTTAAAAACGTAATTTTGGAGAACGAAGTTTCACATATGTATGTGGAGCCAAACATGGTAGCTAATATTATAGCCAGTTTTCTACAGTTAATGTACTTATCTAAAATATGCTTTGTCCAAAAATCTTCAGTAGATGCAGTTTTGTATTGTTGCAATGAAATAACTTCTTGCAATTCAATAATTTCTATTTGAAGTGAAGATTTTGGATATTGGAACATTTTTGTAGCTACGTCAGTCCATTCTCCTGTTGGAGAAACTTCAAAAGGATTTTTTAAAAATTGCGAAAGTTTTCTAATTTCTGCATAGTCTTTGAATCTCTTGGAAAATTCTTTGCTTAGATCAGACAAAAAACTTAAAAACACTATGCAATCTATATCGGAATTATTTTTACATTCAAGCATTATTGGAAAATGAATAAAATCTTGATTTTTAATATCTTGTTCAAATATTTCAAGTTTTCGACGGAAAGCAGATACAGTTGATATCAGATCACAAATTAATTTTATATTTCCTTGTAACTCTGTATTAAGTGCATTTAAATATTCAAGAATATCTTTTAAAAATGCCACAGCTAGCATATTACTCCTGTTTTTTAAGAATTTATGATACTATTTTGATTCTTCCGAATCCAATTTTTCCAAGAACGTGATTACTTCTACTTTTATGTTCCAAAAGCGTTCGATCACTCTACCTTTACTCAACCAACGAACATTGTTGTGTTAAAGTAAATCTGTATAAGCCGAATCACATTCAGATAAAAACTGTTTAAACTGCCTGTGCTGAAGAGAATATCGGGACTTCATAAAATTAATAATCTTAATCATTACGTCCATTACTTCTTTCAGTGTTGTACTGAGTTTGCCATATAGGGTTTGATAAATTATGCATTGGTATGAAAGCATTTCAGGATTCTTATCCTTAATTCTCTTAACAAATCCCTTTTCTTTACCAACCATTTCCGGGGCGCCATCGGTTGAAACGGACACAATTTTATCATAACTAATATTTGTTTTATTCGTAAAGTTGTCAAAAGTTTTAAACAAATTTTCTCCACGAGTCTTGTATTTTAATGGCAATAATGCCAATAATTAATTTGTAAATATTCTACTTTCAACATCAAAAAATCGCACAAATATTGAGATCTGTTCCGAGTCAATAATATCCCATGATTCATCAAGCGCTAATGCGTAGCATTGTGCTTTCTGTAAAATGGAAATTAAACTATTTTTGTTTTCATCAGCCAAAATTTCGGTTCTCCTTATATTGCTTCTTGCTGATAAAGGAATACTTTGAAAAGCATTAATGATGTCCTTCTTTTCTTCAAAAAGTGCAGTTGCCACTTCTAACATACATTATTTGACAATCTCTAAGTCTGAAAATGGCTAGTAGGGTAAATAGAGAGTTCTAGCCCCCCCCCCCGCCTCATCCCCACCTGTATTGTGAGTGTGCGTGGTCAGGGGAGGGGAGAGTCTTATCATAGAGGAGGTGTGGTCTTATCAATGATGGGGTAAAAGGAGGCTTGGTCTTATCATAGAGGAGGGAAGGGGTGGAGTACTCTCACGATGGTGGGGGTAATGACCGTGGTCAAGGTCAAACAATAAACGTGGTTTCTTGATGGTGGGGGTAAGGAGGAGGCGTGGTCTTATCATTGTTGGAGTAAGGAGGAGGCGTGGTCTCACGATAGTGGGGGTAATAGGTAACTTAGTTGAGGGTGATGAAGTAAATCAAAATGGCGGATTGAAGTGCGCATGCGTACTATAACTTTATGTCAGTGGTGGGGGAGTTAGCCATTCGGAAATGGTTGTTCTCCTCTTACGATGTCATCCACTGGAGGGTAAGGTAAACCTCATGTGAACTGATAAAGATAACTGATAAACGTACGTGTAAACATACACATTACATTGAAATAGTGTACGTCAAATAGTGGCCGCCGTTGCCACTATAACATATTTACTTAATATTAACGCTACAACGTCTTCGTCAACAATTCCTACAGAGGGAGGGGGTAACGAAACATAACACAATAAAAGACATCAAATGTATTACTATATCATAACACGTCTGCATTTCTAAGAATTTTTATCATCAGCTACCAGACGCTTAAGTAAGCATATTTCAAACATCAAAGATGTCGCCGTACAGTAATAATCATTGTCGGCTATATTTTATGAGAAAAAATGATATCGTTTATCGTTTTTTCACGCCTACACATTATATTATTTTACTATATAACCGGTTTAATGTTCTGTTCCCTGTCATATACTTCATTAATTGATGTATGATTTATACATGGATGTTATGGAGATGACAAATTAAGAATTCTTGTTCATATTGAACAACATCAAAACAGAACCAACTTGTAAGTACTTTGTTTTACTTAATTATAACAAAAAAATCTCTGTTTATTTATTTTTTTTTTAAAGAAAAACTTTTTTTTTGTATGTAAATATATATATTATATGGGAAAAAAAAAATATATGTTTTACTCTACTTTAGCTGAAGACGATCAAGACTATTTGATTGAAAATGAAATATCTTCCTCAGAAGAAGAAGAAGAGATTGGAGAAGAAGAAATAGTTTCGAGTAAGTATAACATATAAAATACTTAACACAGATATTAGATAATAAATTATTTTTTTTATAAATTATTTAATTTTAGATGCATTAATAAATAACACAGAGATAGAGGAGCACTATAAATATGCCATGAATAAAAAAATATTCTTAAAAGGTGGACGATATTGTAAGTATCAATAAAGTATAATCGATATATATAAAAATTAAAAATAAATAATTTTCTGCTTAGATCCTTACAAGAAGAAACCTATTGGTGCAGTTAGGGCGTTAAAATGAGAGAAATTTGTTTAATATTGTAAAAAAAAAAAAAAAAAGCTTATAATTATTTCCCTTGTAAGATTTTAAATTCAATTGTCGTATTTATTTACACTATATGTATTTGTGCATAATGAATATTAAATATAAGTCTGTAGTAATAAGCAGTACAAAGATGAGTTTTACACATTAAATATATACAGCAAATTTAGTATACGCTATGGTATTTGTAGCACGTTGTACTATCTATGGCATGTAGTAGGCTGTTTATAAAAGTAGTAGGGACACTGTGTCGGTTTACCGAACAGTGATCCTGGAATCGTATAATCTCGATTTAACAAGTCTGAACATGTTAAAACCTGTCTGAACGCATTCAAATCCCTGTTCATCCTGTTTGACCCCCGTCTGAACGTGTTTACAACCGTTTGTTCCATATTTATCGACAACAATTAGACTAATTATTGTTATTGGGTTTAAGTTAGTTAATAATTTCACCGTGATATATGCATAGCGCTATACGTTATAGGGGTTTCCATATAAATGGACGTTGCTTTAAACTTGTGTATGGTACGCGTTGAGTACGTGTTTGATGTGCTGCATTCTCTATACGCAAAACTTACATCACTGACTTTGAAAACGAATTCGATTGTTTGGTACGCGGTGAAGATTCGATAATGGAACACAAGCGTAAAAGTCCTCAATGTCACTTCTTTAGAAACAGTTCAGGTAATTCAAAATGTACGTGTTTGTATCTCTTGTATGTTTTATGAATATTCTCTCTTCAGCGTATGATGTTTGTGGCTTGTACGGTTCTCCACCCTCTGCAATTAGCTCTAGTATGAAAGCCGAAAATTTACTAGAATATTTACTAGAAATGGTCCGTCAAATTAAAATTCCTAATCATATATCGTTTAGTACATATGTCGCTCGTATGGCAACATTTAACAAGTGTCAAAGAAAAATTATGCAAAAAGTGCAAAACCTATGCGAAGTCGGATTTTTTTATATAGGTAATATATAGTTTATTAATATAATATTAGACTACATCAAGATGCTAGTTACATAGTCAGCTTTAATTTATTTTGTTGAAAGAATGCTAATAATTACACCGATTCATGCTATATGAATGGTCAAAATGATTGAATGTGTTGTTTTTGCTGTAGTCAAGTACTAAGAGACTGGGATGATGATGACAAACCATGGACAGAACATGCACGATGGTCTTCCAAATGCGCTTCGGTTTTGTTCAATAAAGGTAAAATATTTATTGACAAAGCGTGTGGAAAAAAAGGATGAAAATAATTAATCTTAAAAAATTCTTATTTATATATTAGTTTTACAAAAAAAACAATTTTTTTTTTTTTTATTTATTTATTTTTTTATTAATTTATACATTTAAGAGTTGTAAATCAACCATTGTTTTAAGCATAATGCTTTATACAAGCTACACATTTTATAGTTGTTCATGTGTCGGACACAGCATGGTTTCGTAGAGCAGAATAGATTGTATAACGGAGGACAATCCAAGTCTTCCATGTCGATTACATTCTGGTTTGGTAAATACTTTTCCAAAACACTTTTTTTGATAGCTCCCTTTACGTAAATAGTCTCACAACGTAACAGTTTCATTATTCTCGGTAGTTCAGAGTATTCGATATCGCCAATGTTCGTGTCCAAGCCATGATGGTACTTTTTTAACCAGTATGTGGTTTTCTTATCATCCTTTACGGTGTTTGGATGTTTGAATACCCAGTGAGAGAGACATGTAGAGTCCAGAGCGATGACGGNCAGACATATAGAGTCCAGAGCGATGACGGACAATTCTTTAACCAAAAATGAATGATCCGCTGACATTAGACCCTGTATGTCAACAATCATCCCAGTGAGAAACGTGCTTTCAGTATCCATTACATGTACGTGTATGTGCTCAGTAACAGTTATACTTAAACTCTAACGTAATTATAAAATTTATTCCGAACAATATATATGTAGGTACACATAAAGTATACGAAATCAACTAAGCTCTAAAATTTAGAGTTTCCTCTATTTTATAGTAGAAAATTTTAACCTAATAGGTCTGCCAACCCCGATGAGGGAGTTTTTCAAACGGTGTTGAGGCACCATCATCCTATAAATCTAAGTACATGATTATACATAGAACATATTCAAATCTATTGTACTGTACGATATAATAATAAGAGAAAAAATCTTTTTTTTGATATTAAATAAAAAAACCCTCTTGTTGTATTTATAATTGTTATTTATGTAACTAAATGTTTTATTACAATAATGAAAAAATGTTTTATTATAATAAATATAAAAAAAAAAAAAATGTATGGATGCTTTATATAATATCGATTGAATCTATCCATTTATTATGTGAATTATCCAAACCAACAAATTTGACAAAACATTTGTCTTTATTCTTCTTAATGATCTTTTCCACTAAATAAACTTCTGGAAACTGAGTCTTGCCAAGTTCGTGCTCATAGAAACAACCATTTATAGGTCTGTTGTTTTCATCTGTCAGCTCATACACGACGGGTTTTGTATCACGAATTTTTGCGAT